AGCCAACAGCAGCAGGGACTCATCCTCCTTGGTCCAGGTTCACAGGGCCAGAGGAGAGATGCTACCTTCTCCTTGCTCTCACAAAGCATTGGAAAGTGATTCCTTTACCTGTGCATACAATCATCAGCACAGATACCTGGGACACCCTCTTGCAGCTGCTGTCCATTTCATCTTTTTTAAAAAAAATATATTTAAACTCATTCCTTATCAGTAACAGGATCCCCAGGTGGGGTACAAAATAAAACACATTAGACCAAACACAGTACAACAATTTCAGAGAGGAATTGGATGGTGGTGGGAAACAACACAGAGGTTGCCCAAGAAAGAAATTATAATACCTGAATATGCAAGTTTGTATTGACTAGGCACCAAAACGAAAACAGCGTGCTGTGCTTGCAAGGGGAGGGCACTCCACCAACGAAGCTGTGGGTGGGGCAACGCACACACCCACACACCCCTTTCCCACACCACCCTACACACTGAGAAGATGCAACCACACCAGGGCTGGTGGTCAGCGAAGCTACTTGCCTCCTTCTTGAAAATGGAGTCAAAGCCAGCGATCTTGTTGCCTTTGGTGTCAATGAGGGAGCCCTGAGGCTCGCAGGTGATCACGTCCCGAGTCTGCTTGGGCAGGGGCAGCAGCTGCCGCACCTTCTCCAGGCTGTCAGACTGGCGGTCACCCAGCTCCTTCTGCAGAGAAAGGAAGCCACAGAGAGGGCTGTTGAGAGGCCTGGCCTGCAGGAGCTCCTCCTGGAGCCCCTTTGCACTTCGGTCATCCCTGCTACACGTCAAAATCATCACATCCCACTACACTATGGCTTGGGCCAAAACGCTACTTACTCTGTAAGATGGGACTGTCTGCCTGCCTTTCCAAGGAAAGTGGTGGGGTGCATGGCCCTGAAGCCGAAACTAAGCTGTGCAAAAATAAGCATGCAAGCTTGCTCTGCATCATGTCATTGGGGAAATTCCCTTGCTTTACATCATACAAAGGATGAGGAACTTTTTCTCCCCTCCTGGAGAACATGCTAGTGGTGGGCAGGGTCAGAGGTGGAACAATGAGGTGAACATGAAAGTAAAGGACCCCTGGACGGTTAAGTCCAGTCAAAGGCGACAATGGGGCTGCGGCGTTCATCTCGCTTTCAGGCCAAGGGAGTCGGTGTTTGTCTACAGGCAGTTTTCCAGGTCATGTGGCCAGCAGGACTAAACTGCTTCTGGTGCAACAGGACACCATGACGGAAATCAGAGCGCACGGAAATGCTGTTTGCCTTCCTGCCGCAGCGGTACCTATTTATCTACTTGCACTGGTGTGCTAGGTTGGCAGGAGCTGGGACAGAGCAACAGCTCACCTAGAATCATAGAATCATAGAGTTGGAAGAGACCACAAGGGCCATCGAGTCCAACCCCCTGCCAAGCAGGAAACACCATCAGAGCACTCCTGACATATGGTTGTCAAGCCTCTGCTTAAAGACCTCCGAAGAAGGAGACTCCACCACACTCCTTGGCAGCAAATTCCACTGTCGAACAGCTCTTACTGTCAGGAAGTTCTTCCTAATGTTTAGGTGGAATCTTCTTTCTTGTAGTTTGGATCCATTGCTCCGTGTCCGCTTCTCTGGAGCAGCAGAAAACAACCTTTCTCCCTCCTCTATGTGACATCCTTTTATATATTTGAACATGGCTATCATATCACCCCTTAACCTCCTCTTCTCCAGGCTAAACATGCCCAGCTCCCTTAGCCGTTCCTCATAAGGCATCGTTTCCAGGCCTTTGACCATTTTGGTTGCCCTCCTCTGGACATGTTCCAGTTTGTCAGTGTTCTTCTTGAACTGTGGTGCCCAGAAGTGGACACAGTACTCCGGGTGAGGTCTGACCAGAGCAGAATACAGTGGCACTATTACTTCCCTTGATCTAGATGCTATACTCCTATTGATGCAGCCCAGAATTGCACTGGCTTTTTTAGCTGCCGCGTCACACTGTTGGCTCATGTCAAGTTTGTGGTCAACCAAGACTCCTAGATCCTTTTCACATGTACTGCTCTCAAGCCAGGTGTCACCCATCTTGTATTTGTGCCTCTCATTTTTTTTGTCCAAGTGCAATACTTTACATTTCTCCCTGTTAAAATTCAGCTTGTTTGTTTTGGCCCAGTTCTCTAATCTGTCAAGGTCGTTTTGAAGTGTGAGCCTGTCCTCTGGGGTGTTAGGCACCCCTCCCAGTTTGGTGTCACCTGTTCACCTTCTGATCAGCAAGCCAAAGACCACAGCGCCACCCAATGAGTTCAGTTTCTACATTTGTACACTCGGCCAGGTCCTCGGAATGAATATCCCTCTCTCTGCAAGAGGTATTATCATAGTTCAAGCACATCTTCCAGTCAGGCAAAAGCACCCAGTGGGTGTGTGAAGCAGGCCGGTAGGGGTTGTGGCAGGGTAGAGCCCCAAGAGCCGGAGGGAAGGGGCACAGAATTCCAAGGTGGGCTCCTACTTACTCGGAGTTTCTTGACCAGGTTCATGTAGGCCCGCTTATTTTCCTCCATGCTGCCCTGTGAGATGCTGGACATATCTGCCGCTAGTGTACCATTGATAAGCACACTCAGCATGTCCAGCACTGTGGTGAAGAGCTCGCTGCCGGGTTAGAGCAAGAGAAAGGGGAGAAGGTCACAGGAGGAAATGGAACTGCAGCCACTGTTGTCCCAGTCCCAACCTGCATTTCTAAATGGCAGGGAACGCTGCTGTGGTCACCCATGCCAAAACAACCACCACCTTGGGTGCCCTCCTGACATTAAGACCCAAGGGCAAGGATGCCTCCAAGGGCCGGGAGCCTGCATTCCTTAGGCGCATCCCTTCTTCCCAGGCCCTGCTGAAATGATGGGATGATTTGGCACACACACCTCAGCTCCTCCACTGTCATCCAGTGGCATCAGGGATGAACTCAACAAGGTTCAGGCTGAGCCTGCTGCCTTTCCTGACTCGGCACAGTTGATGGAGGAAGTATGTGTGCGTGCGCACCAAAGCACTCACTTGTTAGACTGCATGTCAACAGTGCCACTGCTGATGATATCCAAGAGGAGCACAGCCCATTCTGTGGTCTGCTGGGTGCTGCGCTGCACCGTGTCAAACATGCCCCCCACCTAAGAACGAGAAGAAGAGGCTGCGTTGGCCCGAAGGAAGCACACTTGGAGGATGGCACAATGAGCACAACACCTATGGGGAACCCTGATGGAGAGGGAAGGAGAGGACAAGCACCAAGTGTCCCCACCACGCTGGCACAGTCAAGCCACATTAACTAGAACAGACCCTCCCTAGTTTGTGCAAGGCAGAGGAACAAAGGTGAGTCAGGAGAAAAAGGTTGGGTCCAATCCTCAGGCTTATGGTCCTGCCAGCTGGAGACATTCCTTGTTCTTTTTTTCTGGCAGCACCTTGGAAGCCAGAGGAACTTGTGCCCCACCTCCCCTGGCACTTACCAGATTGAGCCTCAGCTTCAGCGCCTCGTGCATCAGCTGCTTCGCTTTGCAGTCGTCCTGGTACTGATCTTCTCGCCAGTTGGTCACAATCTAGGTGGGCAGAGAGGAGACTTGCATCTGGCTAAAGGCCAAGCATGGAGTGTCCAGCCCCACAGCCCCAGAAGCTCAGAGCAACGCCACCCTTAACATGCTCCTGTGACTCAGTGCATGAAGAACAGAACATGTGCTCAGGCCTCCATATGAGGCAAGAAAATAGCTCCAGGGATGACCGAAGTACCCTCCCTCTTTTTCTCCCTCCCTCCCACAACCACAGCCATTGAACATGCCCTGGGGATTTTGCAGGAAGGGCTTCTGGGGCAGTAAATTCCAGGTTCAATCCCTGGCATCTCTAGGTAGAGCAGGCAATGTCCCCTGCTTGAAACCCTCAAGAGTCACTGCCAGTCACTGTTGATTGACCAATGGTATAACTTGGTATAAGGCAGCTTCCTATGTCCCTGGAAACCTAGAGAAATGCCACCAGTCAGTGTGGACAACGCTAAGTTAGACAGACCAATGGTGCATGTTCTCTGGAGCCCTTTAGTTTTAACACTCACGCCACCACCTGTGCTCTTCCCAAGAATCATAGTGGGAGTTGCGGAAAGGGTCACTTTGCACTTCTGATGTGGCCACAGCAAAGATCTTACCTGCTGAACTTGGCTGTACAAGGAAGTGAGGAGGCCCTCACGCTGCTCATCCTGGCCTTTCAGGCAGGTCAAGACCAGGGACAGAAAAGGCTGCTGGCTCAGCAGGGACATGCTGCAGGTGCACCATGGTGCGAAGAAAGAAAGAGAGAAGGGTTGGGTGATGGCTTCTAAGACAGCCTCCCCAAACCCAGCCTCCTTCTCCTTTGGGCCCCCTCACCTCTTCTGTTTCTGGCGGTCCCGTTCCTTGCGGGATGAGGACCCCAAATGCTGCCCTTTCTCCAGCTCGTCTCCTGCAGCCTTCAACACGTAGCCTTGCACAGAAGTTGGGAGCTTGGCAATGAGAGGGGCCACCAGCCACACACCTGACCTCTCCAAGGAGCTGGGGAAGGCAGGCAAGAAGAGTTGTGGTAAACCTCTCCTTATTATTTCCTGCAAGCTTCCTCATTTCCTGCAAATTTCTTTTTTTCCTTACAAACTTCCTTGTTTTTTTGCAGGAATCCCTTCCCACCACTGACCTGTTCTCCTGTGCCTTCTTGCAGACGCTTACCTGAGGATGGGCTTGGCTTTGGTGCTTGCTGGCACAAAGCTTGTGGAGCTGCAAAGGCTGACGATGCCGTTGCTGGCCGAGTTGGTCTCAGCTGACTGCTGGAACACTTCGATGGTGGCCTTGGCAATGTTCTCCAGGAGGGAGTTCATTTCCTGCTGCAGAGAGGTGAAACGGAGCTTTTGAGCAGCCAACTTCCTTGTTTGCTCCAAAGAGGTCCCCGTGCCAAAAAGTCTGTTGCCATTTGTTCACTCTCCAACTCCCTGCCCCAGGCACTCGCCCCTTCTGAGCACCCTTTGCAATCACATCTGATGCTGGGGAAGAGCCATAGCTCCGTGGGAGAGCATCTGCTTTGCATGCAGAAGGTCCCAAGTTTGATTCCAAGCATCTTCAGACAGGACTGGGACTCCCTGCCTGAAACCCTGGAGAGTTGCTGCCAGTCAATATAGATAATTACAGCACAAGAAGGACCAAGGGTCTGGATTCAGTATAAGGCAGCTTTCTGTGTTACTATGTTGCTGCACACAAACATGAGGAGAGTGGCCCTTGAATACCCCCATCATTCCTATGCTATCCCCAAATGTGGCACTGGATGCTTACGTTGTTTGCCGTCTGCTTGATCATGAGCTGCAGCTCAAGCAATGACTGTCGCATTGTCCACTGGTCCAGGTTCTGGAACAAAAACAGACAAGGTGCCCATCACCCACCTGCTTGCTGTGGCAGTAAAACTCACTTGCATCTCTACCCCTCCTCTACTTTCCCAGTGCAAGACTGAATTTTTTTGGCACCCTTTGCTGTTCCAGAATGAATGAATGAATGAATGATTATTTATACCCTGCCCATCTGGCTGGGTTTCCCCAGCCACTCTGGGCGGCTTCCAATTGAATATTAAAAACACAATACAGCATTAAACATTAAAAACTTCCCTAAACAGCACTGCCTTCAGATGTCTTTTAAAATTAGGATAGTTGCTTATTTCCTTGACATCTGATGGAAGGGCATTCCACAGGGCAGGTGCCACTACCGAGAAGGCTCCCTGCCTGGTTCCCTGTAATCTCAATTCTCACAGTGAGGGAACCACCAGAAGGCCCTTGGAGGTGGATCTCAGTGTCCGGGCTGATCAATGGGGGTGGAGACGCTCCTTCAGGTATACAGGACCAAGGCCGTGTAGGGCTTTAAAGGTCAGCACCTACACTTTGAGTTGTGCTCGGAAACGTACTGGGAGTCAATGCAGGTCTCTCAGCACCGGAGGTATATGGTCCCAGCGGCCACTCCCAGTCACCAGTCTAACTGCCGCATTCTGGATTCATTGCAGTTTCTGAGTCAGCTTCAAAGGTAGCCCCATGTTTATTTATTTTTCCAGCTGTCCCATAGCCTTCTTTTACACACCCCAAAATGCATCTTCCTTACAAACCTATGAACAGGGCCATGTTTAAAGGAAGAGGAGCTGGGAGAAATTAATTCTGTGCTGATGCAGGCTGATTGTTAAGTGACCAACCTCAATTATAGAAGCTAAGCAAAAGTGAATCTATCTAATTATTTTGCACCTTGCTTGCACTAGATTTTTAGGAAGAAGAAGAAAAAAAGAAGTCTCATCTTCCAATCACAGAATATCCTCTTGCTAGCATTTCCCATGTATGCAATTAAACATTCTTGCATCCTAAGGGTCTAGAAAGATTTAACAAAAATTAAAGTGAGAGTCTGCTGAATTTAGCAGTGAATTGTAAAGAGCAAGGCTCTCACTGGAGCTCACACTGCCACGACCTTCAATCACAATGCAGGCTTGCCCTGCAGCCCACTGGGAAGTCTATGTTTAGCAATGCCCCAAGGAAACTGTGGCTGCTTGCACCTGTAAGATGCGCTTGATCCTCTGCCGCTGGGGATTCTCGCCCTCCTCGTTGTCGAGCAGCCGGTGTGGGTAACAGATCAGTTGCATCAGCCTTTGGGCCTGGGTGCTGCTCAGGACAGGATCCTGCAGGTCATTGCTGTCTTCACACAAAGATTTCAAGCACCGCTCACCCACCCACTCCTGCAGGTGGAAGAGAGCATACAGGGGTGACAGTGCCCAACTCAACCTGGGAGGCCTTGCCTCTGGGACCCACCATCTGAAAAGGCTGGTGCCTCTTCACCACACCACTTTTGCTGGTCTGCACTGGCTGCTGCTCCATGCACACAGCCCTGGCATCTGGACACACAAGCTTCTTGGAGGAGTTTGTTTCAAGGATGTGGCCATGCTTTGCCGGTCACACTTTACAGTTCTTGCAGGCAACCTGCCCTGCCAAGCATGTTACCAAAGTCACATGACACAAGGCAACGAGCAGCCTCTGGCCAGCTGAGTCACAGCTGGACTGCTGTAGAGTGAGCCAAGGCTCCCACACTGGGCCCTTTCTCTTGCACTGTAGAGGGAGACACTCCCTAGAAGAGGTGCTTACTAAAGTCTAAAGCTGCAGGGCAGGGAAGGAGAAAGGACAGTCTAGGTCTGTGGGAGTTTGAAGTTCACAATACAGTGGTAACTCTGGTTACGAACTTAATTTGTTCTGGAGGTCCATTCTTAAGCTGAAACCATTCTTATCCTGAGGCGCACTTTTGCTAATGGGGCCTCCCGCTGCATGCGTGCCTCTGGTGCACGATTTCTGTTCACATCCTGGGGCAAAGTTTGCAGCCAAGAGCAGCTACTTCCGAGTTAGCGGAGCTCATAACCTGAAGCATTCATAACCAGAAGCGTTTGTAATCAGAGGTACCACTGTAGCGTAATGAAAAGAACAGGACCTTGGATAGCTCCAAGGGCACCTGCTAAGGGAAGCTATTGTAAACATTGTCTCTGCAGGGGACTGATGTCTAAGGGTCGGCTGACCAGACCTGGAGTGTCTCCCAAGAGCTGCTGACTGCTTGGTTAAAATCACCATCTTCATCATCGTTAGAGGGCCTTCACCTTATTTTGCAGCCTCTGGCTTCTGTGGAAATCCTCTGAATTTGAGGACAGTGGTAGGGCTCTGTCCATGAGGGCCACAAAGGAAGTGCCAGGGGCAATTCCTAACCCACTGGATGTAGACTGAACATTCCCTCGTCTGATTTCTCCGCCAAGGTCTCCAGGTTGTGGGTCTCAATAAGAACAGTCCCCATGTCCATTCATATTCTGGAACTCAACCATGTCCCCAGAGTTTTCTAAGGCATGTCAACAAACCCATGGGGACCTCACACAACAAGCCAGAACTCTGGCTGAAACCTGTCCACCATCCATGTCTCTGTGGAATGGGAGGCAGGAGCAACAGAAGGGCAAACGAAGCCCACTATGCTCACCTGCTGACAGATGCTCCTCAGGACGTACTTGGCATAAACGTCCAGGCTGGCTGTCTCTATGGAGACCATCCGGCTTGCAGGCTTCTTGTCGTCTTCCACAAGATCATCCACCCCGGCCGGATGGGAAAAGCCAGAGCCCTTCAGTTCGGCGTCCCCTGCAACCAGGAGCAAGGGTCACCCAGGGCAGAGACCCACATGTAACGGCCACATGTTGCTGTGCCTCTCAGATGAGGCAGGACTGTGCCCATCTCCTCACCGTCCTGGAGACAGGAACCTACATTCCCCAGGCACATACCCAGTACGAAGACAGCCTTCAACACAGCAAACACGGCTCCGTCCACAATGCGGTTCTGGGAAGCAGCCAGCAGGTGTCGATCGCAGGAAGAGCGGATGCCCACTGACGGCTTGCCTGTAGCAAGGTGACAAGGGAAGGGAAAAGCTCTTGCTGTAAACCGACTATGAATACTGCAGACCAAGCTGGGAGACAAAAAGGCACCCAAAGGCAATGCAGTAGCTGGTGAACACTGAGCAGCCAGGATGGTGTCATTGTACAGAACATTGAGCCATTGCTTATTGTTAAAGCCTTGGTGCTTGGGAAAGCTACAGTGATAAAAATTCTGGTCAAGAATGGAGCCTTCAGGACATTGTGAGAAGTGTTTTCTGGCCTCCTCCCTGGGACATTGGGCAGACCTTGGTTTCTTTGTGATCTTTTTGGAAACAGTTATGATAGCCCTGTAAATAAGCCTACAAAGTTACTCTCCTGCTTTTTAAATTTTTTTGTAAACTGCTTTTGGGTTTTTTCTTGACAATCAAGCGAATGGAATGGAATGGTGGCCAGACCCAGCCACAGTGCTCAAGACACCTGCTGGCTCTCAACCTAAGAGGAGCCCCAAGAGGGGTTCATATCATGCTTAGCCAGCATGACCAATGGCTAGCGGTTATGGGAGTTGGAGTCTGATAACTCTTGAGACTGTCACAGGGTCTGCATCCCAGCAATAAATGGAGACTTCCATTTAGCCATCCCAGCTAGTAGCTACTGTGTAGATATTTAGGGCCATCCAGTGCATTACTGTGGCCACAGGGAGTCACCATAAGGCACCAGAGGCCTGACTGGCCACCAGGGCAAAGGCTGGCTCAGTCTATGTGGGAAGGTGGTTTTGACCAGCCATGAGAAAGAAGGGCAGATGTCACCAGCTAGCCAAGTCAGGAGACACAGCAAGCGAGGAAGCAAGGAAAAGGTGGTAAAAGAGTGTCTGTTTAGGATCAGTTAATGGAGTTAAGGGAAGAACTTGCAGACACCACCCCATGGGGGATGCTCTGCCCCATAGGCTGAAGAGACAACTGTCAGCAGCAACAGGTTGACCATGAAACTGCACAGCAGGAAAGAGGGTTCGGGGAGAGCAGCATCCTCCATCAGGGCAAGAAGAGACACGGAAGAGGAAAAGCCCCAAGGGAGCGATCACTTACTGCTGTCCTGCTGGCAGGGGTTCAGCTGCGGGGTCTTGAAGAGGTGGAGCAAAATCCGGCAGGTCAGGCGGGCTCCAGGTTCCGAGTCCTGCTCGCTGCAAGCTGCAGAAAGGTAAAACCACCGGTGGCAGGTTGATGTGAGCTGACCCTCTACTTTTCAAGGAGGGTGGGCAGGCCTCCGTTTGCAAGGCCCCTTACTAGGCAGCAGGGTCCCAGCCATTGCAAGCAGGCACTCACCAGCATTGAGCAACGAAGGGATGGCAGCACAGCGGATCAGGTCCTCGAGGAGGAGGCACTGGCGAGCAATGAGGATGGCCACGAACGTGGCAAGGGAGTCATGGAAAGACAAGTCACTCACCTAAGGGAAGGAGAAGGCCACAGCTGAGACTTTTTTAATTAAAAAAAAGTTGCCTCTGTGGAACTGGAATCACTCAAGAGCAATCCACACACAAGACCTCGTCATGCCATAGCCTCAGGCTGGGGAGTATTTATCTTTCTCTTTCTTTCTTTTAAATAAAGTTTTATTAAGACTTTTCATAATATAATTAAGAAACAAACTGAGCTAAACAAAAACAAAACAAAAAAGGAAGGAAAGAGATAAAAGAGAAAGGATTAAAAATTACAAAAAGTCCTCTCTCACCTTAACTTTTGTCCCATAAGAAAAGGTAGCATCCTCCAAGCTCTCACCTGGGAGCATCCCTTTCTTCCCCCAGCCTCTGACCCTGGGATCTCACCTCCCTGCCTCTCACACAGGGTCCTTTACCAACTGTCTGTCACTTTCACCTGCATGCAGTTCTTACCAAAATATAGTACGAGAGAATGTTAAAGGGAATAATAACAGAATAAAGAGAGAGAGAAAAGGTAAAGAAATGAAAAAAGAAATGTCTTGTGACAGAGATTAAAATTCCTCAGGGTAAAGCCCTTCAGATAAATGCAGCACTCCACAGTATATATTTTAGCTAGCAGCAGACATAGGAACACAGGAAGCTGCTTCGAACTGAGCCAGACCATTGGCCTATCTTGCTCAGTATTGTTTACACTGGCCAGCAGTTGCTCTCCAGGGTTTCAGGCAGATTCCCTACCAGGAGATGCCAGGATTGAGCCTGTGACCTTCTGTGTGTAAAACAGGTGCCTTTCCTCTTTCTACCATCCTGTGTATTTCCTTGAGTTGTTCAAGGATTTCACACCCTGACGCTTCTCCAGGTACCCTCAGCAGCCTCCACGCACACTCTATCCAGCACAGCTCCAATGTCCCCCCCCCCCACAGCTCAGGCCCTGCCCTTACGTCCACATTGCAGAGGAGGTCATTGAAGCCACAAGTCCCATTGTTGGAGGAGCAGCACAAAGCCTTCAGCACACCCAGCCACTCGGCACTGAGTGACTTGCAGTAGCCCGTCAGTTCAGCGCACAGGATGGCGATGTCGTTGACCCTGCGCAAGGAAAGGCATTGGTGGTGGTGATGACAGCCCCTGGCCTGAATGGCTTCAAAAGAGGCGATTAAGACATACTAAATGGAGAAGTAACCTAAGCAGTGGTTATTTAATTGTGGCGGTCAAATGGAACCTCCACGTGCAGAGGCAGTATACCTCTTAAGAGACCTGCACTTCTTTAGGCAGGTCTGTCCAGAAATGTAGAATGGCTCTTTTGATCTCGGTGTTTTGATCCTAGTTTTAGCTTATCAGTGACTTTTAATTATTTCTGAAGGTATTAAATAATTGTTCTCAACTGGTTTTTTATGGTGAATTTATTGGTTTATTCTTTTTGTAAATCGCTTCGAGGCTTTTCCACTTACAATCAAGCAGTATGAAAAGCATCACAATTTTTTAAATTTTTTAAAAAATGCTATATGCTTCTAGGAGGGAGGCAAAAATGTAGGCAAGGCCTATTGGCTCCATACTTTTCTTCTGAAGTGCCTGTTGGCCCCTGTAGGAGAAGGGCTGGTGGGCCGGACGGCTCTGCTCTAGTCTAGCCCATCCAGAGCCCTTACATGGTTAAAAAGCGTCACTAAGAGGAGAGGTAGCCCAGCCCAGAGGCCCAACCAGCCTAGTCCAGCTCTCACCGATCAGGGTCGTGGTGCCCCACGCAAACGTGCATGAGGGCGTTGCACACAAAGCTGTAGCGGTTGGCCGGGTTGTCGGTGAGGCTCTTGCCCAGGTTGGTGTAGGTGAAGTTGTGGGCCGACGGATTCTCGATGGTGTCGATCATGAACAAGGGCTCCCACAGCATGTTCGAGTCGGATGGCTCCACATTGCAGTAGATGGTGTTCTTCACCTTGGAGCAGAAGTCGCTGGTGGGGAGAAGGAAGGAAGGTGGATGAGGACCTTTTAGGTAGGAGAAACAAAACGCACTTCCCTGCGTCACCTCCCTAGACAGCCAGATGGAGCTCACCTGAACAGCTCTCCAAATTTACTCTTCAGGTGGCTGCAGGAAGTGTAGAGGTCATAGAGGTACGCTAGGATGCAGCGTTCCGCAGAAGATCCGTCGGAGCGGTTCATGCCGTGCTTCACCACCCCACACAACCTGAAGGGGCAGAAGAAAGCAGGGTGAAGGAGTGGTGAGAGGGTTGGATTAAGTCAGGGAGGGTTCCAATCCTCCACTTGGTCACCTTGGGGCAAGCCACAGTCTCTCAGCCTAGCCTTCTGTCATCAGCGCACCCCCTCCCCATCACCAGTCTGGTGTACAGGCAGCTATTCCCAGGTCTGTGCTCTATGGAGCACTTGCAGCAACAGAGGGCCACACACCCTCCACCAGTTTATGTATCTCCCCCTGAAGGCCTGTGTGCACACAGCCGGAGACTACGCCTGTGTGGAAGCTGCCTCTGTGCTTTCCTCTTCAATCCCCTCCTGGTTCTGGGAGACAATGGTGCAAGAAAGGGCAGCAAAACTCCTAGCCCTTCACTTGCCCAACCTGCCTCTTCCTCCTCTTTTTCTGACCAATCCTGTGTCCTGCCTCCCATCTCCGAAGCTTTCCCTGCCTCTGAATCTTGCCTACTGACTAGTACAGGTCCCCACAAACCACTGCCCCCTTCTCATGACTCCAGCCCCCTTTCCCCTCAGGCACACTCATCAGCATCTTGCCAGTCCCTGACACGATTGTTGTGAGGATTAAAAGTGGAAGGGAGGGGGAGAAACATGTATGCCACCTCGAGCTCCTTGGAAAAAATGGTGGGCTATAAATGTAGCAACAGGTTTACAAATAAAGTGAGAGAAACTGTGATGGAAGGCAGGGTGGTGAGGGGAAACTCAACATGCAGGGGGCAATGCAGGGCATTTCCGGGCATTAAGGATGGGGAGCTGCACCAACAAGAAGCTCTTACGCAATGCTAGGCCCCTGACACCCTTAGAGCAGCAGCTGAGAAGCACTGGATTCCTACCCTTCGAATACTTGAGCCATCTGGTCCTGATTCAGGATAAGGCAGGAATGATAGTGCCGCAACACGGCCACGATGCACAGGCACAGGCTGGTGGTGTAGCTGCCCACCAGGTTAGAGGACTTCAGCAGCAGCTCTGCCTCCACCACACTCAGCTCATTCAGCAGCTGGATTCAACACAAGAAAATGTAAGGATTAAAGGAGGCATGTGTGAATGACACAGCAGACTAGTTCACAGACCACCATCCCCAGCCCCTTACAAAAGCTGTTTCTGTTTCTGTTGACAGACATAGGTCAGGAGTTGAAGTTTTCCAAAATAATAGTGAGGGGCTTGGAGATGTAGGTCTGTGGCCCCCTCACCCATGAACTCTCTAAGTAGCCAGTGGCCAATTCCCCACGGGGCTTTGTGCTCACACAGTCCCTCCTCTCTCCCACATGCTTCAATGAATTACTTTTCCCTTTGGGGCAAAGCCACAATTTGTTGTAACACCTGACCCAGGAAGCTGTGACTTGCACATAGCCTCCAAACCAGGATCACCAACCAGCTGCAAACAACAGCTTGGAATCTTGGGTCTGGAGAACATAATCAAACCAGAGTTTGCAGGCCAGGCATCACAGTGGCAAGTGATGGGCCTTTTAAAGTGAAAACGTATCCAAGTTTTGCTTTTTGTTTTGGTAAATGAAGCCGCGAGATTTATCTCGAGGCAGCTCAGCTTCAAGGTTTGCTGGACTACAACAAGCTAGCAGAGCCAGTGGTCAGGGATGATGTGAACTAAAATCCAAAAACAGGTGGAGACTCAGGTTTGAGAAACATTGTACTAAAGTATCTCCAGTATCAGAGACAGCATGCTCCAGAATAAGTTGCTGGGGAGCACAAGTGAAAAGAGCACTATTGCACTCCTGTCCTGCTTGCGGCATTCTCAAGCGAACCTGGTTCACCACTGTACAATAGCATGGTTCTGGGCCTTGGCCTGACCCAGCAGGGCTCTTCTGGTGTTCCTATGGAACAGAGGAGGGAGAAGCAGACTGGAGAAAGGCAAGAAGCAGACTTCTCTTTTATGAAATACAAAAGGCAGAACATGAGAGGAAAGAACAGAGAAGATACTCTGATCCTGGTTGGTGGGTGGACAGCTCACTTGGACGCCTCTCTCCCTCTGGACTACCAACAGTAAGGTGCAAACGGTTTGTGTACCATCATATCTCGGGTTAAATATGCTTCAGGATGAGCGTTTTCAAGTTACGCTCTGCAGCAACCCGGAAGTAATGGAGCGCGTTACTTCCGGGTTTCACCGCTCATGCAGACGCTCAAAATGACATAACACGCATGCGCGGAAGCGGCGAAACACAACCCAAGCACACGCGTGTTATGTTCTACTCAGGATGCGAACGGGGTTCTGGGTTGCCATCCAGGTGCCTTGGACCACCATTCGCAACAGCCCAAGCCAGATGTGCTGATGGGTGCAGGTGGAGTTGTAGTCTGAAACATCTAAAGGGTACCAGGCTGGAAAGGCTGCTATAAGGAAGATGGGAGGGAGAGAAATGAAGAGGGGACCGAAGCGGCTTCTATCATCAGCCCCCAGCTTCGAGATGCCCACCTGGATGGCGAAGTCGATGAGCCCACTGATGTTGAGCGAGTACTCCATCAGGTCGAAGATGAACTGGATGTGCTGCACCAGGGGCAGGTGGTAGGACATCCCTAAGGCAAAGCTGGTGATCTGCTCTAAGACGTTGCGCGATACCTGGAGTTGGGGAGCAGGGGGTCAACAGCCACCAATTACAAAGCCGCTGCCTTGCATCAAGGCAGCCCGTTGGTCCACGTCGCCTGGGGTGGGTGGGTGTCAGCCCTGGGGAGGTCCAGGTGCAGCCCTCCAGGCCTCTCTGTCTGTCCCGGACCATGCCCCCTCCCCAGGCCACGCCCCTCACTGGCCCTGTTCTGTCCCCTCCTCTAGGGACTTTACCTGGGTGGAATGTGTCCTTGCACTGTGATGGGATCTCTTGCTTGCCTGGATGAAGGATGGAGAGCGGGGTGTGTAGGTGTGTCTGGCCATGCCTACTTTGGCCACACCCACCACTGGCATCCCCCCCCAAAAAACTTGCGCACAATGGAATATGGCCCATGGCCTGAAGAAGGATCTGCATGCCTGGTGTAGCCCAATACTGTCTTCACTGACCAGCAGCAGCTTTCTTTCTTTCTTTTTCTCAACATCTGCTGCATGAAACTATAGACCAGAGATGCCAGGGATTGAACCTGGGACCTTCTATGTACATAGCACATGCTCTGCCCCTGAGACACATGTGCCTTTCAGTAGTCAGCTGAAAGGCACATGACCAAAGGAGATCCCTGTCCTCACGCACAAGGCACACACCTGAGAGGTGACAAGGTGCTGGTCAAAGTGAGAAAGGTGTTGGAACTTAGCAAAGATGTCCTCGGCTGTTGGGAAGGCCTCTGGCTTGTTTCGTTTCCTTTTCTGTCCCTCCTCTCCCCCTATACAGAAGGAAGGAGGAAAAACAAAACAAAACCAGACGACTGCTGCTTAGCTTTTGCTTCGAAATGTAAGCCCCACATTTTCCATTTGCATAAACACAAAGAGCAGCTTCAGGAAAACCATAAGCGATACAATGTCAGTAGAAAATCAATGTGAAAATGGCAATGAGTTTTGCAATTACTCGGTAAGTACAAAAAGCAGCAGTTTATAGTATGGTAGTTGGGAATTAGAAGCACTGTATATTATTGTCCCCCAAAGAACCTTAGCAAACAGAGTGGTTTTTAACCTGGTGCCCGAAACGTATCTCAGAGAGGGCCCCTGAATATCCTGGAAGATAGCATTCCATAGGCTAGGTGCCTCAAAATAAAAAGCCTCCTCTCCAGGTGTTGCTCACCTAACCTTTGCAGGAGGCCTTCAGAGGATGACCTTAGCAGGCTGGCAGATCATCAGTTCATTACCAGGATCAAATGAAGGTGGTCAAATTAGTGTTCAAAGCCCTAAATAATTAGGCCCCAGATATTGGAAATGCTGCTTCCTTCCCTGGAGACCCTCTCATATGTTAAGATCCTCTTGGTAGCTCCACCACCCTCAGAGGTTTAGGGCATGAAAGCAGCCCAGGAGAGTGTTCACTATCTGTGGCACCACTTAAGCTATGGAATTCACTCCCCACAGAGGCACATGTAGCATCTTCACAGGACAGCTTCTGTCCCGTGCTGAACACGCACCTCTTTATTCTGGCATTCTACACCTGAGGTGTGTGTTTCTAGGAGCCGCCCTGTTCTTCTGACTGTAAATTGCTTTAACTGACTTTAATATCACTGCTGTAATGTGGCCCTGGGACCTTACGGTGAAGAAATATAATGCAGGTAAGAAATGTAATAATGGTAACAATAAGATGATAGTGATATTGGAGATGACCATTCAGGTAACCTGGTCACAGGCCACTTGATTCAAAAGCAGCACTCTGAAGTAGGCCAGGAAGCCAACACAATTATTTCAATACTGACCAAATATGATCTCACCCACAAGCACTGCCATATTTTGAACACATTGTCCTTTCCAGTGTTCAAAAGAAGCCCCATGTAAAGTGCACGATCCCATAACACAGGGTTTCCCAACTTTGGGACTCCAACTGTTTTTGGACTACAATTTCCATCATCCCTGTCCACTGGTCTTGCTAGGTAGGGACTATGGGAGTTGTAGTCCCACAACAATGGCTGAAGACCCAAGTTTGGGAAACCCTGCTCTTTGGACACACAGGTGCCCCACAGACCTGTCTCTGCTGTGCTCTTCCTGTTTAACACCTTCAGGATATCTTTGGTTATCTTCTTGATGGCATGCCGTGCCTCATCACGCTGCTTCCCAACACCAAAAAGGACCACCAGCCGCTGGTTGCATTCGTGGCTGCTTGACTCCTCCTGAGAAGTAAGAGGTTGGAAGGGATGGGTGTCAGCTGCTGATGCCAGGCGGGGAGGTTTTCCAGCTACCAGTGTTAAGAGGCCCTTGCCTACCTCACAAACCCAATGAAGCAGGGTGTGGGGGACCTCAAAGACATTTCCCCTAAACCATGCTCACCTACCCCACACCTGATGTCAGGTGCAGTGGGCAGGTACTGGAGTGGCTGCAAAGGGACAACTAGGCAGGAGCAAGGTGCACCTCCACCAGCATTCAAACTGCTGCCAAAATAGAGGGAGAAAACCTCAGCTCTAATGGTCATTACAATGCAAACAGCTTGGTGCTGCAGCAACAGCAAAGCCCCTTGCAAGGCAGTTCCCAAGCGCCTGACCACCAACTGGCTTCCAGGCGCTTGGGAAGTGCTGCACAATGGACTTCAACAGGCGGGCTGCCCAGAGAAAGATCTGGCCTGCTGAACCAAAAACAGTACTCTTTAGTGCAGGGTTGGTGAACCAAGGCAGAGAACATAAAGCATTCCATAACGTAGCAGGCAGTGGGAAATGCTTTTGATAAAAATGCAAGAGTTGCTCATAGGAAGGTGCCATGTTGTAAATCAGAACTTTTGTCCACCCAGCCCATGATGGGCCTACTTTGTCCCTCAGCAGTTTGCAAGAGTCTCAGAAAATGAGATCTTTCCCATCACCTCCTATCTAGAGCCTTTGGCTGAAAATGCCAGCAGTCAGACCTGGGAAGTTCTGCGTGCAAAGCACACACTCTGCCACTGAGCTGTGCCCTCTCTCCTAAATCTACATGCATAAAGTAGCTGGCAGAGAAAAGTTTATATGGCACATTGGCCATCTTTGCCACACTGCACCATGCACTAGATCAAGGGTGGGAAAGTTGTGGCCCAGCGGATGATGCTGGACTTCGTACTCTGATCATCCCTTGCCAGTGGCCATGCTGGCTGCTGGGGCTGCTGGGAGTTGGAGTCCAGCAACATCTGGAGGGCCACAGCCCCCACCCCGCTCCAGATCACAGTCTATGAAGCTGCCTCCAAGTTTCTACTTTGCAAGTTGTTTCCAAGTGACTCTGAGTTCATGTTTCTGAAAAAAGCAGCTAATAAATATTAATCATAATAAGATGGGTGATAGGTCACTTTGTTTTGTGTCAGTAGCCAAGCCCTGCTAGTTACCATACTACCTTTTTTAAATGGGGGGACAGCCACATTAATGTTTTTATAAATCAGGCGGGGGGCGGGGAGAGGAAGCATGCACAAATTCATGTTCTAACTCAGGGCTTTCACATTTCCTAGAGTCCTCCCACCTTCTTCCGAAAGGTGGGAAAGTACTAACTAGCACACTGTCAGAGCCCTCAAACCTCCTTCCCAAAGTGCCATGGTTACTCGGCTTTGGGAAGGTAGCACAAGCACGGGGGGCGGGGATGTCAAATGTTGAGGGCTGACAAAAGAGGCCTTGAAGGCTGCATGTTGGACCACCCTGTTCTAACCCAGAAAGGTAGCAAAACCCAAATGATGCAGGTCATGGGCAGAGAAGTTTGCAGAGAAGTTCGACAAGCACACAGAAGCAACTTCCGCAAATGATATCTCCCTTGTGTTCTTGAGGATGTAATGAGGGGAAAGTGACAGCATCTCAACTACACGGAAGGCAGTGGTGAGGAGGGAATTAAGTGGTGTCAGGTGGAATATGCAGCTTGTCAAACCCCAGATGGATTTCTGCAGTGCTAAAAGTTGGAGAGGGACTGCTGCAGGCAGAAGCCACCTCAAACACCATACTAAGTGGCCTGTTCCCATCTAGCAATATAAATTTATACACAACTGGTGTCTTCCGCCAACAGAAACACAAGACCCAAATCATACACAACCTATTGTTCTTGTTTACATATGAAAAACACACACAACAAAGAATCTATTTAGAGAGCCTTAAGGGGAAAAGTGCCAAACAAGATTTCCTTCACTGTAAATACAATGATGCACATGACATCAAAACACAACAAGACCTACAAATTCTTGGCAGGATTATCTAAAACAACCATTAAAGGACATTATGAATATGATTTTAAATATGGGCGAGCTGCCAAAATCATGGAAGAATGCTTATATAATTTTGATTCCTAAACAAAGCATAATGTCTCCTGCGATTTTATGTTTAAAGTTTTAGAATATATGGGTTGTGGAGACACTTATATAAAAGGAGTTAAGGTAATATATACTGACCAGTCAGCTAAGCTGATGGTATATAGCGTTCTGACTGAGAAGTGTAAAATAACTAAAGGAACAAATCAAGGCTGTCTGTTGTCACCTTTGTTGTTTATAATAGTTTTAGAAGTTTTGGCGCAAAGAATAAGATGTAATTAATATTAAAGATGTAAAAGTGGAACAGAGACAATATAAATTAAAAGCATGTGCAGATGATGTGGTGATATCTGCAGAAGAACCAATAGAGTCAATCCCCAAAGTATTATAAGAGATTTTAAAAAATTGACAAAGTAGCAGATTAATAAAGGTAAAACCAAACTCTTGCTTAAAAATATAAAGAAGGAGAGTAAGAACAAATTACAAAATTTATCCAGTTTAAAGACTGAAAGAAAGGTTAAATATTTAGGTGTATGGGTAACAGCAAATAATATAAATTTATATAGAGACAATTATTTAAAAACCTGGTAAGATATTAAAAGAAATTTGCAGATTTGGAACAGAATGAATCTTTCATTATTAGGTAGACTGTAGACCATAAACATAAATGTGTTGCCCAGAATGTTATTTCTGTTTCAAGTGATTCCAGTGACTGGCAGGACAGATTGTTTCAATGTATGGCAAAAAGATATCTCCAAATATATTCGGCAAGGGAAAAAACCAAGAATAAAATATAAAATATTGATAGATGCAAAAGAAAGAGGAGGTTTTTCCCGGCCAGATATGAGATTTTATTATGAGGCACACTGTCTTTGTTGGTTGAAGGAATGGATGTTAGAAAATTCAGATATTTTAGACTTAGAAGGTCATGATAATATTTTTGGCTGGCATGCTTATTTATGGTACGAAAGGTGAAAGTTCATAAAGAATTTACAAATCATATAATTAGGAAAAACTTGTATAGAGTATAGGATAAATACAATAATTTATTAGAGGTAATAAATTAATTTTAAAAATTAAATTAAATTTTTTTTAAAAAATGGCTCTCACCGCTGGAAGCTATAGTGGTAAAGAAAAAGAATATGATAGAAGGGTGGGCAACTTATAGAAAACTATTAAAACAAGAGGGAGGAGAATAGAAATTAAAAGAATTTAAGGAATTATCAGGGAAATTAACAACATGGTTACAATATCATCATTTGAATGAAGTATTTAAGAAAGATAAGATATGAGGGTTTGGGGAACAAATATCACAACTGGAG